CTGCCTTTAATCGCATCGCGTGGTCCACTCGTATACGCGTTGCTTTATTTTGCGAGGCTCCCTTAAAGAAAAAATTAGGATACATTCAAAAAAGAACCAGAAGTAGTAATGCAATAATAAGATATCCTCGATTTCCAAAGAATGACGCATCTGGAAAATACTTCTTGAGTATATTGCAGCTATTTCTGCCATTTCGTACAGATGAACAATTAAAACCACCAAATTTTCGAACGTATGAAGAATTCTATGAAAAAGGGTCTGTCAAATTATGTGAAAGTGAATTGCAGACAGTAAAGTCTATAGTTCAAGCAAACATGAAACAGTATGAAAAAAGTGCTGATGAAGTTGAACAGGCAGAAGAGTTCCTAGCAAAATTTGGACCACAGGAAGATGCATGGGGTATTTTGTGTCCCGAAAATGAAAAAGAAAGGCTAGAAAACCCAAAGCCAAATGTAAATGACGAGGATGATACAGAACCTGAATTTGTCATTCCAGATTTTGGACTGAACAAAAATAAAATGTCTATGATAGAATGTAATCCATGTACTGCTATTCCAAGGCCAGAGGCTAACAAAATGATCCGATCTTTGAATAAAAAACAACTACAAATGTTTTACAAGATACGACAATGGTGTTTGGATAAAGTTAATGGTAAACAGCCTGAACCATTTTATACCTTTATTACTGGAGGTGCTGGCACCGGAAAAAGTCATTTGGTAAATTGTATTTATAATGAGGCAACACGCATTTTTGGCAAAATTATGCAGAATCCTGATGATATGTCAATATTAAAACTTGCTCCAACAGGGATTGCAGCATACAATATAAAAGGCCAGACGATTCATAGTGGTTTGTCTATCCCCATTAGTATTTCACTTCCATATCAACCACTTGGAGAAGAAAAAATAAGTGCACTTCATAATCAGCTGAGTCAGTTGCAAATTGTGATTATAGATGAAATATCAATGGTAAATCAAAAGTTACTTTGGTATATCCACGGACGTTTGCGGCAAATTAAGCAGACACGTAATGATTCTCCTTTTGGCAATGTTTCAGTAATTGCAGTTGGTGATTTTTATCAGTTGCCCCCTGTGATGGGTACCCCATTATATAAGGACACACTGGAAGGATCATTGTGGATGGATAACTTTAAACAAGTAGAGTTAGATCAAATCATGAGACAAAAGGAAGATGCAGAATTTGCTCTTTTGTTGAACAAATTGCGTACAAAGGAAAGAGATGATATTTTGTCTGATGAAGATTTAGAGGTTCTCAGATCACGTGAAACCGGTGAGCAAAGTAAAGATGCTCTTCATATTTATTCATTTAATAAGCAAGTTAATGAATGGAATAAGGAAATGTTGCACAAGACCTGTACAGATATCATTAGTATTAAAGCAGAAGATATTGAAGTTAACAGCAGAAAAAAAAATGCAGTTTGTGATAGACCTCGTAATTCACGTCAAACTACTTTGTTAAGTTATTTGTGGATTGCACCACATGCCAGAGTGATGTTGATAAAGAATGTAGATATTACAAAGGGGTTAACAAATGGATGTATGGGACATGTTGAAGAGATAATAAAGTCCAATGAATGAATGAATGTTCTAGACCTGTATCTATTAAAGTGAAATTTGACAATGATAAGATTGGTATTCAGGCAATTGAAATGTATAAAGAGTCCATGGGGAAAAAATATAGTCGAAAGCAATTTCCACTCAAATTAGCATATGCGTGCACAGTTCATAAGTGCAGGGAATGACAATGAATAAAGCAGTAGTTTGCCTTAAAAATAGTTTTGCATCTGGACAAGCATATGTAGGTCTCAGTCGTGTCACCTCAATATCTGGACTTATTATTGAAAATTTTAATCCTAATCTTATATATTGTGATCCAAACATAAAGAAATGCTTAGATAATATGAATTCATATGCACGATGTGAAGAAGAAATTTATGATTCAGATTGTAAAGTTTCCATAATGTTACATAACATTCAAGGGCTTAAACAACATTTTGCTGATCTTCAGTGTAATAGTTTGTTTGTGAATTCAAGTATCATATGCCTTACTGAAACATGGCTAAATAAAGATAATGATCTCTTTGACTTGCGTACAGACTCATATAAATTGTATCATCAGGCAAGATATGACTCATATTCTAATACAAATAATTTGACTTCTAAATTAAAAATCAGGCACATGGTGGTGTTGCAGTCTATACCAAGAACAAATTTTCAAGCAGATTAAACATAAGTATTAACAATATAGAGGTAATTGCATTTTTGATAACTTGTCCAATTTCTGTTGTTGTTTCAGTAATTTACCGACCTCCTGACTATAATTTGAAGCAATTCTGTAACAATTTGAGAGACCTATTAGAAGAGCTGCATAAAGTAAGTACAAAATGTATTATAATGGGTGACTTTAATGAAAATTTGTTCAAAGAAACTTCTCAAGTAAATAACTTAATGTCACAGAATGGGTACCAACAATACGTTACATGTTCTACTACTGAAAATGACACATTGATTGATCATGTCTATGGCAAAGGTCTAGATTCATTGCAGGTAGAAGTGATTCCAATTTATTATAGCTACCATGAAGCCATTCAAATTAAATTTTAATTGGTAATGTTTCAGATCATGTCTATGTTATTCACATTAATATTATCAATGAAATGATATGAAAGTTATCGATACTAAAGGTTACTTTATAACTCTACAATGAAAAAGAAAAAAGAAAGTAAATAAAAAAGAAAAAGAAAAAATGAAAAGTATAAAGTAAAAAAGATAATAAAAAGTAATTTTAATTTCGTAAGAAAAGATATCTTGTAACTATATCTCCGAAATAATTTTTGAACAATATCTCGAAAAACTAAACAATAAAATATTAAAATAAGTAAACTTAAAAAGAATTGTACTTACAAAGAATGGAACCTACAAGGAGTTGAACTTACAAATAATTGAACTAAGAATAATATTGAACTTGCATATAATTTTACATGCAAAGAATTAAATTTACAAATAATTTTAAATTCTTAAGAAAGCATATCTTTCAACAATATTTCAGAAAGTATCTTTGAACTATATCTCGAAAAGAATTTTCAAAAGAAGTGAGCTTGAAAAGAATTAAAGTTACAAAGAATTGAACATACAAAGAGTTGAACTTACAAATAATTGAACTAACAAAGAATTCAACTTACAAAGAATTGAACTTACATAGAATTCTACGTACAAAGAATTAAATTTACAATTAATATATTTTACAAAGAAACAATAATAAATAAATGTTCCTGTAAGCAAGCAAGAATCTCCCAGAAACTAATCTATCTTTGCAAATCCATAGTTTCCATATTTTCACTGCTTTATTATGAATTTTCTAATGGAAGTCAGTGCTGATGGATATCACTATGTACAGCAAAATGCAATTAGATGTGTTAAGAAAGCTCATTAACCAAATTAGATTCAAGTAATTAGAGGCAGCTGGCCTGGGCCTGCAAATATTCCAAAATATGAAAAAATGGGTTAGAAAAATATTTATAAAAATGTAAGTCTAAGAGGGCATTTCCAGCAATGTAGAGGTAGTATAATCATAAATTTTCTTACTCCAGCTCCAGTGGCGGTGCCAGCGGGGGAACAGGGGGCTTAATTCCCTCCACCGGACAGGTCAAACCCCCCCCCCTGCCGGACAGAGCTCGTTGGGCAGCAGACCATAAAACATATAACAATAGGCCCACACCAAGCCAACATATGTCTGTCACAGTCTGCGAGTGCCATTTCCTGCCATATAGAGGTTGCTATTCTTTAAAAAAAAATCTCTTTTGGGAGGGGAACCACCTCTCAGCCCCCTCCCACAGCTCGAGCCTACGAGCTCAAGTCCCCTGTCAAACCTCCCCCAGAAAATATATCCTAGAGCCGCCACTGTTCCGCTCAAAGCATGGTGTGATTAATGCAATTTGATCCCTGCCTCTTCCCCTTTCTTTATTTAACTCTCCCCATCCCCCACCATTAGACCACTACTGCAAATCTCCTGGAAATGACTTCTTTCCAACTTAGGACACCTGCCAATGTCATGGCAATGTTGCAATCATTTCCATAGGCATGCCTTAAGACATGACCAGTCGATTTCCATTTTCTGTTTTTGACTTTCTCATTGGCTGATCATATATCTGTTTTGCTAAGAATTCTCTATTAGTTATTCTGCCTTCCTGTTATTTTTATTATTTTTCTCATACATTTTTTTTAACAATATGTGAATTTGTTTTTCATTTGCCTTCGTTAACTTCCAATTTTGAGAACTATGTAACTGCACTGATGTTACTAACATCTGAAAAAACTTTATCTTAGTTTTCTTGTTAACGTTGCTGCGATTTCATATTCTCAGTTTCATGAAAGATCTTCTGTTTTAGTGATTTTATGTTGCATGTCACCTGTCTCTCTTTTGCTCCAAATAATGGGAATCTGTGTAATCCTCTGAAACTACTCTCTTAACTACATCTGTTTTGATGACAGTTTTACACTTAAAAAGTCTTTTTTATACTTATTTTGACCCCACTCTCGAAGCTTAAGTTTCTCTAAGCAATTTTGCTGATTTTGTCTGTATTTGCTTTACAATGCTTGATAATTAATAAAATATTATCAGCAAGTGCTCAGTTATCTAGTTTGTTGTGTGTTCCCATTTTATCCCATTTTCACTATCTTCTACTGTTTTTGTCATAAACTTACTCATCTACCAGTAAGACAGGAACTCTGATATGTTGCATCCTTTTTTCAATCTCTCCACTAGGTCAAATGTTACGCACTCAAAGCCACTGTACAGTGCTTTTACTTTGCATTGTTTATTTTTTAGGTACCCAGCTCATAATATTCCATAGATCTTTGTATAAAGACAAAGGCCCTTTCAAAATCAGCGAAATTGAGATAAAGCATTGTCTGCCATTCATGGCTTGTTCAGTAAAATTCATCAAAATACAAATGTGTTAATTAGTTCCTCTGTCTTGCCTAAATCTAGCTTTCTCTTTCTTAATATGCATTTATCAAAATATTGTTTATGGATTGATGCTACACATGTTTTGAGCTAAAATGTTTCCATGGATTATTCTTCAAAATTATAGTAATTTTATTTATTGATTTTATCTGGTCGCAATGAAAATATAACATGTTACATATAAATGAAAGTTAACGAAGCAATTATAAAAAATGGAAAATGTATGATATAATAAAAACTAATGAATTGATGAATGTACATATGAACTAAATATCTGAGTATATGAATTGCAAGAAGACATCTTTTACAATATTTTCTTAATGAAATAGTTTGTTTCCAATCATAATATGTCTGTATGACAATAATATGTATCGCAGTAATATGAATTATCCATGCTTTGTATTAAATGATACACTGATACTCAAATTGTTTATGCAATCAAGTAACAGGTACTCACATTATCTGTGCATGTTTTTATCTGTATTTTGTGCTCTTTATTAAATGTGTAAAAAGCAGTGCGGATGAACACAAAGTTTGTTATTTAAAAGGAAATGTAATGTAACAAGAACTAAAGTCTTGTAAATTTTCAAAAACATTTGATAGTCATGATAGTAAGCCTATGTGCTTTAAATGTTTTTGTGAACTGAATAATTACTAAGACCAAATGTACAAAAAAGTAGATTCAATTTAGAATACTTTTTCTGTAGTACATATTTCATATAATATATTAATATATAATATTATATAGACATCAAGGTATACTCATGCCATAACTGATGTAAGGCACCATTCAAGTTTTATTTTGTCAAGATGCTGTGGACCAAGACTTTGCTCTTAATTTCTAAAATATTAATCGATTTGGTAGTCAGGCAGAAACGCTTGGTATAACTAACTGAATTCTCTTTGTCCAGATTGCTGTAGATATTCACTGTGCATGAACTGCTTGAAAGAACTCAGGCTGATACTAAACACAATTAAGGTAACTATTTCTTTTTCAATAAATTTGTCAAACAGATTTAGTTTGATGATGATGAACTAAATGTATAAACCTGAATGTATTTCATATTCCACAAAACATTTGACTTATGAAAGGTTGATAGGGTTGGCTTTTAAAAATGGTGCGCATGACACACTCGATATGCTGATACGATAAAAGACATAGGTTTTCATGACCACATGAAAATCAAAAGGGGCATTAGTGCCATAAACTTATTTTCACATGCAAAAAAAAAAACAAAATTAGGAGGAAGGTGTACGCTTTCAAGATCTAACCTGGAACACAAAGCATGTGGAATTAAATTTATTATAATTGAAATTGAATATTATATAATTACATTATGTTGTATTTGGTGAATTGTAATTTAAACGAAATTACACATACATATTACATGCACTTACTAAATTTGGGTTATTTGAATAATGAAATTATTTCACTGGACATATACTGGTAATGACACCTGATGAGCCAACTTATTTTGTTGGATATATGATTAACATATTTTGTTTCATGTTATAATACTGTTTGTATTTTATTTTATTTTTTTTTTTACTTTTCATTCAGGTTCCAAAGGTATTTGTGTATGATATTACACAAGAAACTATGCAAGTATTCCAGTCTTTACAATTTACCATGATGAGAATAAGTGGATTCTCTTGCTAAATGTCTGCTGTCAAGCTTCATGAGGTCTGCCACAAGGTTTTAAGCTAGCCAGCATAAAAGCCATTAGTTCTTTCATAGCAATTGTCTAAACTTTGCAACTTTGATGATAATGTCCAACTGTGAGCAGGCTATTTTTTCAGCTTTGCTGCATGGAATGGAAGCACCAAATATAAACTGTATTCCTTCTGAAGCTAAAGCTAATCTGTGCAGTATTGAAAGGCATATAGTTCAGTTCTCAGTTAGATGGTGCTTGAGAGATCTGTTCATTTTTCAAGATATATTTGATTATCAGATTTGATAAAGTATGTTTTACAAGAGAAAAAATCAGCCAAGAAACTGCAAATGTATCATAAATTATTGATCTGCTGAGCAAAAGGAAGAGTGTGTCATATTTTTATACCAGTGAATTAACGGTCAAAATTAATGAAAATTCCTGCATTATGACCAGACTTTGACAAGCGTATCACTTCAATGCATACTCTATATGCTGGACTGCTCTACTCTTGCAAACATAGAACCTTTTTTTAGTGATAATGTGTACATGTATGTACTGTGTGCCCTGAGCACAAGCATTGCTGAGTGACAAGGTCAAAACATGTTAGATTCACAAAAGATGACGAGAAGATTTCTTTAGCTTAAATCTATAGTTTATGTATTCCAAACAGTTTTTAAATTAAAAAGAGATGTAGGTAAAAATTCATTGTTTCTCATTATTAGGCAACTATTGTATGTAATTCTGTGTAGTACACATTTAAAAATGACATCTTAAGATATTCCTTTCATATAATTGTTATGAAGACTTACTGTGTTTAGAGATCAATGTTTTGGAAAGTAATTACCACAAGTGCAATTTTCACGGCATGTAGTTAGGCGCCAGTTGATAGAGATGGTTTTATTTGAGTATGTTTTTTTTGTAACTTTAGTTTAAAGGTACTGTTTGTTTCCAAAAGAAAATAAAAATATTTGACTGAATGACAGAATCAATTGTTTTTATGAAATCTCACATTCATTACAGGTATACAGTACATTGGTAAAATAAAAAGGTTTTTTTCAGGTTTTATTGTTTTAAGATTATTTTTTAGGTTTTATTTCAACGGTAAAAGGAGAGTTATAAAAAACGAAAAAATGAAGTTAAAAAATAATATTGAAGATAACAAGACCAAAATACAAAAACATGTGACAAAGATGTTAAGTGCCGTATTCGCGTGAATAAGTGCCTAGGTACTTACAACATTATTTATTACTTTTGTATACTGATGATCTTTAACAAGTTTGTAATTGATAAAAAAATTTCTTAATTTATAGGAAGCATTTATAACTTTTGGACGAAGAGAGAAGCTTATTTCAACAGGGAACTTATTTGCGGCCGGGGAAGATCCAGACTTTTTTGTTAAACGGGGGTGGGTGCAAACCACATAATAGATAAGTTTGTTAGTAGCATTAATTTCAATATATGCATTGAAATTTCTAAAATTTAGTGGCAAAACGGGGTGAGTGGCACATACAGAAGGCCTACTGTGTATACTGCATTGGTTACGCAAAGCTGGATTATTCCCTTACTCATTACCGGACTAAATAGGACTATGTACAGTACCAGAATAATAAACATATTTACAAACAGCGCCTTGAGTTGCTAAAAAAATGATTACAATCTAATTTTTATGTTTGGCGGCTATTGGAGTAGTCTTTTCTAATGATGGAGTATGAAGTACAGAATCAACCTTTGACGATTCCTAATAGGGCAGCAGACTTGATTGTCTTGCTCTGTTTGAAAATCCTGGCTACTGTATTTATCCATAATTCATAGTTTTAAACTCCGATAAATTGCTTTTGCTCGATAAATGGATCACCTAACTCGTTTTTAGAGTGACCAGTTCAAATCTAGCTTCTAGCTTCAGTTCATGCTGTGCGCGTGAAAAATTTTCATAATCATTTAATGATTATGGACAATTTTGTAATGCTGAAAAGGAACTGAAACCTGTTTTAAATTATCTAAAAAGTGATATTGAGAATTTTCAAATTTTAATGCACGCGTACACGTACGGGCGGACGGTAATGGCACACACGAAATTGAACCTTGTCAAATGGCATTTAAAAACGCCTGTTAGACGGTTATGCCACACGAATTTTCCCTTCATATGAACTATTATATCAGTCCGATAGCGTCGAAATATAGTCTGCCGCCCTCTGTCGGTGAATTCATATATTTTAAGAAAGAAAGATGAGAGTCCAAAAAATAATTCATTTTGACAATGAAGACGTCATCTTAAGGGAAAATGAAGGTTAGTTTCCGTAACAGAATTTTCTTAGCTATAACATACTCAAAGATGGGAGATGATCGATCAAGAATAAGCGAGATACGTTTAAATGAATGGAAAAATAATGATATCAAATTAAAATTCAGTTTTTTAAAATTCAGATGGTAATATGACGTCACAATGTCCGATCAGCCATAATGATCTATAAAATCATATCTACAACTCATGTGCTTTCAGAATATGTAATAAAATTTAGGGGTAAACTTTCATCCTAAGGAGCTATAACTGATTAAAAATAAGCACAATTTTAAGGATATATAAAAGTTGACGCACGCGTACACGCAAGTCAAGACGCGCTAATGAAAAATAAAGGTACCTGACATTCAACCTTAACCTGTAGTGTATGCAAATTTAATATTATTCAGAAATGACGAATGGTTATGATGATTATGGGGTCTTCAATGTTTTGAAGAAAAGAAAGATGAAGGGTTCTAAAAAACATTTATTTTGACCATGATGACGTCATCAAAATGTAAGCAGAAGTAAAATATATGAAAGAAAATTGTCTCAGCTATAACATACTTAAAGTTGGAAGACGATAGATTAAGGATAAGCGAGATACGCTCAAATGCGTATTTTCAAAAATGACGTCATCGAAAAAAAATCAGTTTTGTTGAATTCAGATGGCAATATAATGACATCACAATATCCAATCAGCCATTATGAGCTAGAAAATCATATTTACAACTCATGTGCTTTCAGAATATGTAATAAAAATTGGGGGTCACCTTTCATCCTAAGGAGCTATAACTGATTAAAAATATTCATGGTTTTATGCATATATAAAAGTTGACGCACGCGTACGCGCACGTTAAGTCGCGCGAACGGAAGATTAAGGTACTTGACAATCAACCTTGACCTGAAGATTATACTCACTTAATATGATTCAGAAATGACGAATGGTTAAGATGATATGGGCTCATCAACGTTTTGAGGAAAGAAAGATGTTAGGGGTCAGAAAAAACATTTTTTTTACCATGATGACGTCATCAAAATGTAAAAAGAAGTCAAATATATAAAAGAGAATTGTCTCAGCTATTGCATACTCAAAGTTGGAAGACGATCGATCAAGGATAAGCGAGATACGCTCAAATGCGTATTTTCAAAAATGACGTCATAGCTATAATTCACTTTCTTTGAATTCAGATGCCAATATGATGACGTCACAATGTCCGATCAGCCAATATGATCTATAAAATCGTATCTACAACTCATGTGCTTTCAGAATATGTAATAAAAATTAGGGTTC